TTTTGTTTTTTTAAAAGTGTGTTATCCAGAGCTATTTTAACAATCCACCCAGCTTGTCCCTTGGGTGATGGGCAGCCCAGGGTGGGACTATGGCTTGATGTATTCAAAGACAAGATTGCAGGGGGGTGGTGGGGAGGGGGACACGAATCATTTGAATAAATAGAGATTCTGGGGAATAAAGTGCGGAAGCTAACGGGGATTTATAGTGCCATTAGACTTATAAATGGTCTTGGGAAAGTGCTGTGTGAATTTACAGTGCTGTACAAATGATTTCTAATCATAATAAACGTCGTATATTAAGTCTTCCAGGCCCTGGTGACAGAGGCTCTTTAACAAGACTAGAAGATCATGGTACACAGAGAGGACAGCTGTATTTTTAAATAAATGTATTATAGCTTACCATATCAGGCCATTCAGGGTGACTTTTATTTCCCACAAAGTGACGAAAAATTGCGTATATAGGTATTAGTTAGAGGTGAGTAATATGTTGTTTTTCTTTTTTTCTTAAGTGTATTATAAACCGATACACTGATTAGGTCATATTGGTTAAATTAATACTTGAAAAGGTGTGTGCAGAAAGTGAAACAAATGAATAAGACACTGATAGGGCATTGAGCTTTCTAATCTCCTGTAATGAGGGTGCAAGTATGACTTTCTTTCAACCCGTTGGCTTGTTCTTTCCACGTAATCACCCTGTCRTCAGTCTGCTGTCAGACAGTTTGATGGGATCAATCCTGGTTCTAGCAGGCAGCTGGCTTCCAATTTTGAGTGTGGGTCATTAGTAATTATACAGAGATATCGCTGAAACTGCCTTTCAGTGTCTAGTGTTCCAGGCAGCCCTCCCTCCTGTGTGYGTGGGAAAGAGGAAGGAAGGAGATGATTTTTTCCATGATTTTGCCAGTAACATTTCTCGTGCACTTTTTGCCAGGAGAGGGCACTATGGACTCTCTGTCCATGTTGGGAAATAGCAAAGTGGACACACAACAGAGTATTTTACTCTTGTTCAGCAGCAGCAGACTGCAGACTGTGGGTGATGCGGCTTTGTGGTGAGAGGAGGGAGGTGTTTGACTTGTCTCGGTCTCTGTAGGAAAAGCTGTGTATGGAGCCAGCTGTCCTAAGCTGTGGTGGTGGTTCATGTAGCTAGTGAAAAAAAATGGGAATGATGTGGCCTTTCCCTTTTGAGCTCTCRCCACCAGCACTTCCTAGCACAGAGAATGCCGCTATAGCCGTGATTGTTCTGGCTCTGGCAGGTGCAAAGCCTTGAGTGATGGTGGATCCAGTAGTGTGGCATCATTTCCTTACACCARTGTAACATTCTGTGCTTGCTGCCCTCTCTTCCTGCACAGCATCCAAGTTGCATTTTGTGCTGCTGACGTGTGGTGCAAAATGAGCTTGTCTGAGAATAACAGGTGTTGGAGGTATCAAGTTTAGCAGCTCAGATTGCAGCTGGGAGCAATTCTTAAATGGAGGCCAACTGGCTTGTCTCCCACTCATTCTTCTGTGCCTAGGAGGGTTAGTCAGGAATTGTTTTGATGATGTCCCAGTCAGGTAGGTCTAAGCAATTAACCTTCTGCCATGTAAGGCATCATGAAAGCCCCTTTTTTTCCCATTGCCTCGCTTGAGCTGCAGCAGTCTGATTGCAGTGCTCTCCAGCATCTCCTTCCAATGGCACTGGTGTAAATTCAGAGCAGAACTACCGTGAGTGGAGCTTCTGTGTAGTGATGCACAGACCAATCTCTTGTGCCTCTTTTGCCTGGTACCAGCAGGCAGCAAGGGGCAGCAGCTGCAGAGAGGTGAYGGTGGCTGCTTTGTGACAGAGAAGAGCAGGACAGCCCCAGCTTTCAGTCTGACTCTGCTTGGCTTTGYTTCATATCATTAAGGTTCTCTCACTAATGAAGAATCTCTTGTGTAACTAGTTCTAACCTCCATAAAGTCTGGCTCCTTTTCCTCGCCCATCTATCAAATCCTGTTGAAATACTGTCCGTCATGAATAAGCTCCACTTATGCTGCACATGTACCATGTGATTTATGACTCGGGAGGGCTTTCTAGCCAGCACTCTATATTCACACTCTGGCTGTGTTTCATGAAAAGCTCTAATGGAAGAGCTGTGCTCTAGGCTTTGTCAGGGCTGCCTTTCGAGGGGGGCTCATGGCATTTTTCATTTGTATGGGCTGCATCTCTCCACTAGAGCTCTGCTCATGTGCGGGGTTTGATTGGCATTGATTGTGCTTCAGGGAAGGGAGCATGCTTAGCRAGAAAAGAACAGGCGTTTCTCAAAACCTTGACTTTTAGGTAGTGAATTGACCTGGATTAGCTTTTGACACACTGTAAATGAACGCTTCTGTATAAATTGCTAGCATACCTCTCACTGTGGAACCTGAACCCTGTGTTTCAGGTTTTATATATATTGCTTTTGTGATGATGCATTTCATATTAAATCATTTCTGGACACCATTTTTCATGAGTTGTCACTGAGGCTGCAGCCCCCTTTGTTTCAGAAACTGGTGATTCTGCCAAGCTGCATCTGAAAAGTACCTGTTGCGTCACAGCTATTCCAGGGAGCTGTTCTGCATTCTGTCCTTCCTGCTCTCAGTAGTGGGGCTTGTGCATTTAGCTAGATAAGCAGATCTTTCATTGCCATTTTCTTGTGTTTGTCCTTTCTCTTGCTTGYGATATTGACAAGCTGCCTAAATCCCAGGGAATAGAAGGGCCAGCCAAGTCTGTATGAATTTCCAATCTTGCTAGGAGAGCTAGAACAATCGGACTCTGCTTAATTCCAGGGGATTTATAATGCCTTAGACATTACAGCGTTGAGCACCTGAAGAGAACATATGTGACATTTTGGGGGCTATCTTGTTTCAGTAGTTGGAGAGAAATTGCTTCTCTTTGTTCCCTCAGAGGTGCACAGAGAGAAGTGCACTCGGATGCAGTGAACCACTTAATAGGTTCAGTTCATCAGCTTTGTTAGCCTTGGAGGTGACATGGTCCAGAAGTGACAGTGGGTTATGGACAGTGGTACTTCCTGTGGCTTGGAATTAAAGGAAAAAACTCAAGCTCTTTTGCTGCCRTAGGAGGTGCGCTGTGCTTTTTTGAAAGCAGACCGTTGTCAACCACAGCCTGGCCATGTCTCAGAGAAGGCACTGAAAATGTTCAGGTATCAGTAGTGAGTGGACTGCCGTTGGGAGAAGGGTGGAGGGGGAGTGATCACTTTCATGTTTGACTTTTGAGCATTGCAGCATAGAGTTCTTGACTGACTTGTCAAGAACTTTTGCCCTGCTTGGCCTTATCWGCCTTTCTTTTCCGCACTGATAACTGTGTGGTCAGTGACCATCTCCTTTGTTGAGAGCTGTCACCCACAGTACCATCCAGAAATCCCAGGCAAATTCAGCAACACTGCTTCCTGTGCCAGGAGGGACCAGAGCAGTGGCCATCAGCRGGTTGCCACTGAGTGGGCTGGTGTGGAAATGTTTTGGTTGCTGTGTGACCTGTGACATTATGGATCRTTCTGTCAGCTCGAAAGCAAGGCTGCTTTTTTTGAAAACAAAGCTTCGCTTATTCGTAAGTGCCTGCTGCAGTGAGAGCTGAGCAGGGTATAAAACTATCCTTTCCTTTCAAAGTCACCACTGATAACTAATGGGATGGCTCGAGTAAATGAGAAGAATAGTTGATGTTAATAGAGCTGGCACTGGRTTCATTTCACTGCAGGCAGTTGGAGGAAATGGCCTCAGACTATATTGTAGGTAGGAAACGAGAAYATCCAGTGGAGAGAATAAGGGCATGCACTGTAAGAAGACTGCAGGAATGAGATCCTCAGGACAAAAAGAGAGGAATGGCAAAAAAGTGAGAAATTAGGAAGAGAAATCCCAGTGGAAYTGGCAGGTGTTGGGCAAGAAGAGAGTGTTTGTGAGACACTAAGCTTGTGATAGAATGCTTGTGAGGTCTCCCTTGTCACAGCAGAGTTCAGCTGATTTATAATGGTTGTGGTTTTGTAGCCCTGGTTTTCAGTGCTGCTGTTCTACTTGTGTCACCTGTGCCTTTGACTGTGTCTGAAATAGAGTGGGTAGGGTTAACCTTGCCTAAAGAGAGATGGTTTGCAGATAAAACCCTTACACATTAWCTGATGCCTGTCAGGGGAAGGCAGGTTGCCTTGGGTCTTGCCAGCTCTAGAGCTGCATTGTTTCACCCTCATCCATTCAAGACTGAAAACAGGAATAAAATCTAGAGGAGAGCAGCATGGTTCCAGATCTGACTGCTGTCCTCCTGAGTCTCTGCAAGGCTGGCTTAATTCATTTATCACTCCATTCTCCAGTTCCACTAATGTTTGGAGGTGCTGCAAGGCTAAGAGCACTTGCACCAACCTAGGCTTTCAGTTGATGGATTAATTGATTAATTCTCCAACATCATAATATGCTTTAATCAGAAGTATCCATGACCTCATGAAGGGCTTCCTTATTTTGGTGGCCTGTCTCTTACCAAAAAAGGGTCTATAACATATTTATTTCATGCTTCTTTTCAAGGAGGTCATCTTAGTTGTGTTTATTTAGTTGTGTTATATTGCCTTTGCTACAGATACTGCCAGATAGGTGAAAGAATTATTTCAGGCTAGAAGACTGTCCTAGATTTTTTTTTTCTCCTGAGCTGATAGTCACAATGGTCTTGTCTGGCTGTGAACAAATCCTAGAAGGAGCACCCAGAAAGMGGCTGTGCTGCTCTGGACATCTGCAGAGTGTAGTGAGTGGTCACWGTGCTGGGAGGTTCCACATGGGCTGGTGGAAGAGACAGACCTTGGTGCCCTTTATAAGGTGCCATAAGTGTACTCTGAGCTCTCTGAATCCTTTCTTAGCTGGGGAAGGAGATGCTGCACAGGGAAATACTGAAGSCAAACTGCTAGGACTTAATTGAGGGTGTTTGCAGAAACACTGTGCTGCTTGCACAATGATGATTTGGGAAGCAGCTATGACTGTCCTTCCTCTTTTTTCTGGGGTCTTCCTCTTTTTTTTTCCTTTTTTTTTCTTTTTTTTCCCCTTTTTGGGGAGATAGTGGCTTCTTTTCTCTTTTTTTTTCCCCTCCAGCTTGCTTGCTGGAGCTAAAGGTAGCCCTGTCTGGGTCCTGACCCTGGGCAGTGGGGAAAAAGGTGGGAAGTTTCAACAGTTGTGGGTCAGGAATGAGTGTGGAACAACAACTCTGGCTGGCTTTATTTAGCCTGCTAATGTTTCCATTTCCCATCTGTTCAATGGGAATAATCTAAGTGTTGGGGATCAATTCACTGAGTATCTGATTGCTGTGCAGACAGTATGGCAATAAGGTACTAAAAATGTCTATACATAAAAATAACCTCTTAGACTCTCTGGCACTGTGCCTTTGGCATGTCACAGGTCGTAAAGATTCTGCCAGATGAAATTAACTGGCAGCCTTGTTCAGTATGGAATGAGAGCAGTTTGCTCTCCTAGCATAGTTTAGGTACATTAGGGCAGACACATCCTGGTGGATTTTTTCAGTCAAGTCAGCAGATAGTTGGAGTCATTAGTACTATAATATGTATGAGGGTCTTGAATTAAAAATTCTTGGCTGGRAGAGCTCTTTTTCTCTGTCTGTGAGGACAGAGATGAAGGACTGTGTGCATGATGTTATTGGGATGTTGGAACAAGGAACTCCTTAGTTTGAAAGGGGTAATAAATTATCGATTATGTWGACAAATAATCTGCCCTTGTGTTCCTCCTGCTGAGAAGTTACAAGTTTGGGACAGCTATGGGAGAAGAAAGAGATGTGATTGTGGGTGATGGGAATGTGATAGAAATACAAGGGAGGTTGGAGGGAAGACATGAAGGTGGAGACGTTTTGACAAGTCTGGAGATGTGCAAAGCTTACCAACAACTAAGAGGACTTCAGATTCGGAGTTTCTCTTCTCCCTAACTTTCTTCTGGAGAGAAACTGTTGAACCCTGAGGTCTCTGTGTTTATTTGGGCTATGACTTGGTGGGAAAGAGCTTGTGAGACCTGAGCTGCTTTTGCAAATGCTGATTGGGAACTTTGCTCTGAGGCTCAGGTAAGAGCCAGGTTGGTGGTCTGGTTTTGGCACAGRTGCTGACTAACACAGGGTTTCCATTTCTGGACTCTCCTGTTGTGTTGTAGTGGCCTGATGAGGCAATGCACAAAACAAAATGTGAGATAGCTGAGAAGTACCAGCAAAAAAATCTAGAGGGTGATCTGATTTTATGATTGACCTGGGTTCCCTCCAGCTCTGTGGGACTCTGTGGCTTGAGTAAATGGCTTGGCGTGTGCTATAGGCACCAGTACTATTTTGCTGGGCATGGAGAACTATGAGGTGCTTTGGTGTCTCTGATCCCAGAAGATAATAGTCATGCTCATATTAACCTCAGCATCTTTTCCCTGAGAGGGTTTTCAGTATGCTGCCTTTGTAAAACCGACAGCAATTTTTCAGTCTGCTGCCTTCATCCATCAGTAACGTTCTCCACCAGGGAATGCAGCGTTAGGCCAGTCCCTCTAACTTATCTAAAAACATATTTATTTCAAATAGCTGTGATGTATTTCCTGGGTCATCATTAACAATGCAGGTGTACAATAGGAAATGAGACTTCCTAATAGCAATTGGATTCTGCTGCCTGATCGAAGAATTGCTTAAGAACTAAGCTGTGTGTCATTAGAAGAAGCCCCTTTTGGGGGGATTACCTGTGTATGCAGTATGTGGTGAAGCATGAGGCCAGTAGCTGGCTGAGTTTAACCAGCCAAGGAATGTGATAATCCTCCAGAAAACATGTGTAACATGGGCTATTTTATTAGCAATAGGRAATGGATATTCCATTTGTGACTAGGAAGGTCATACCTGTCTCTGGATATTAATATGGCTTTATCACCAGCAGCCAGTGGGAATGCTTCATGTCTGTGCAGAACGCTAAAGCTGCCTTGTGCTGTCAGATGTTTGGCTGGATTTTAAGGATGCTTCTATCCACTAGGGCTATCAGAGAATATTGCCTTGCTCTCTGAAGACAAGTGCCTTTCAAATACCATTGAATGTTTCTGCTCTCGTTAAAAGTTAAGAAGCCTTTGATCTGAAGTACTATTTTTTGTTTTTTCTTTTTTTTTTTTTTTTTCCTCTGGCTTGCCAGGGCCTGGGAGGAGTTTCATGGCCTGGTGAACAGCAGTGGCCGCTGATCGAACGCTCCCCCCCCTCTGTCACACCCAGGGTAGGGCCTCATCTTTCTTCCTATGTGACTTCATGGCATACCTCTCAGCTTCCAACCTTCTTCCCATGGGCTGGCATGTCCTCTTGCCTTACGGGCCTGATGGTGGGCCCATTCTGCCATTTATTCTTTTCCAAAGGTCAAAATTATTTAAAAAAAATTTTTTTTGACCGGACACCAGCATTTTCTGTTGAGGTGCTGTGTACTATTTTGGTAATGTGTCCTTCCTCTGTGTGAGGCACTTGTATCCCAGACTTGCTCCCAGGAGGCTGAGAGGTATGTCTTCAGCATGGGTGTGTTGCCTAGGATTGACTGTAAGCAGGTATGGAGTGKTAAATGAATCCTAAGCACACCCAGGTGATGGACACTGAGAGGCACCTGGGGCCTGACATCTCTTTAACAGTGGGCTGAAGCAGAATATATTAGTTGGTCAATTAAAACTTGTTGAAGAAGGGCACCAATAACTACTGCAGGTAGAAATAAGAACATKGTGTCTAATGAGATGACCACCACTACTGCTGGTAGTGGTAGCCAAGATGTGCAGAGAAAATAGCCAAGGTGAGCCCAGGGCTACTGGGAGCCTCACAGCTCAGATTGTTTTTCATCCCAGTGCCCACTTCTCTGATAGCAGGCCCTTAAAGAGGGCCAGCAAGAGGCCTGGCCATGAGAGTTGGTTGTAGCCAAGTGGGATCACTGCATTGCTGAGTGGCAGAGCAGAGAAATCCACTGGAAGGAAGCATTTACGTTGCCCAGTTCCCACAGCTGGGCAGTGAAATRTAGCTGCTCCAACACAGCTCAGCTCCGAGGAGCTGCCAGGGATCCCAAAACCTCCCTCAACAGCACTGGGTGAGCCTTGCTCTCAAGTCATGGGTGAAAATASTATCTCTCTCTCCTCACAGGTTTGGCTTTTTGTGAGGATCAGTGGTTACAAAATATTACACAGGCACTGGGTAGTGTTGTTATTGTTAGATGACATTCACGTGTCCTTCCGGAAGAGGAAATGTGCTTACTTCAYTACATACCAGGCTCTGAAGGCAGCAAACGTGCCAAGGGTATAGGAAAACAGTGCCAGAGTTCATTTAGCTCTCAGCTGTACTGGCTGGCCTGTGCTGAGCAGGAAGAGCAGGGATGAGCACACCCAAGTAAATTCAAAAGGAGGGAAGATGTGGAAATCTGTATAGGAAAGAGGTAGCTAAAGTCTGCTGTCCTCCTGAGGTAGATGGCATGGGTGAAAGTCCAGCATGGGATAGAAAGCCAAACCATTGTTGCAAATTAACCAAAATGCAGTTAATGAATCCTKAATCACATTCCCATATGGCAGCCCTGTTCTGCTGGCAAGTGCAAAGGTGAACCCCAGTCTTCTGTAGATGGCTTCCAGCATGGTTTTTGCTGTCATGTCATAGAAGAGTAACTTTTTTAACTCTAAAAAGTGGTTTTTACTTCCTTCTGCTCTTCCAGTTCTCCAGCCCACCTCCTGGAGGTGTTCCAGTCTGTGCTGGTACAGCTGCCATGCAGCTCCTGGCAGCACTCAATGATAGCTCAAGGGTTTGAGTGGAATTTCAGTCCTGCACAGCACCTTGCTGCTGAAGTTGCTGCCTTTGCTCTTCAACCATTTGGTGTGGTATGTCCTGGGGTATCCCTAGATGTTTTGGCTTGGGCAACTTACACCCCTGACCCTGTTTATGGGAAGAGCTGCCAAATCTGTCTTCTTAAAGTAATTGTAATCTCAYTTGTTTCCAACACACCACCTCTTTATTAATGTGGAAATATGCTTTGCCTGTTGCTGCTGCTCACAGGCTGGCAGTAAGCAATAWCAGATTTTTTGTAACCTGCCCCATCTTCAATTGCTGCAATGCCATGAGACTGTACACAAGGAGGTTGTAGACCAGCACTTCTCTCTTGGTCAGTAGCCCCTGAGGCTCATGTTTGTACTCAAGTGAGTAGAAGCTGCTGAAGAAACCCTTCTTTTTAAACTTGAGAGAAACATCCTTTTCAGATTAGATATTCTTGTAAGGTAGGAGAGATCAGAGAGCTAAACTTGTTGACAGTATGACTAAATACAAGGAAAAGAGGCAGGGGGAGGTTGGTCTGATGGTATATTTATACTTCAATCAGAATCCCCGAGATAAATGTTTGGTGAGGAAGAGACCTTGCAAGTTGTTTAAACACCAGAATCCATCAGGGAGGTTTCCACATTCTATCATGTGCTTTGCTCACAGGAGATGACAATCTTTTCTTCTCATTGAATGGAGATGAGCCAGGATCTCCCTCTGTTCCAAGAGTTGTGGAGTGACAGCTGAYTTATGTGAGAAGTCTGTAGTTAGGAAGCAGATCTGCATAGGAGGTTTAATTAGAATTGATTCTGAATGATGTACTGGGATGGCAACACTGTAGCTGTGGTGGGGAGAATGGGGAGGTGCTGTGATCTGAAGAAATGCACATCTTCAACCACTGTTTTTCTTCCCTCTGTTTTCCAGGGATAATTCAAGCTTTCGAAACACAAAAATCACATTGTGAGAACAAGAGTTGGCACTAAGCTCCTCTCTCCGTGTTGAAAGCACTGGGAGTGCCCTCCGACCTCTGAAGGGACTCATGGGCCACTCTCGCACTCCTCCCTGGGGGAAGGATCCATCTGAAGCCCTCCAGCAGCGGTGACAATAGAGGCCGATTTTGTCTTACACAAACTTTTTTTTAGCAGTGGGGCGGGAGGCAGCCTTTCAATTAGCGGCGGGCCCTTGGGGCCACATCTTGCAGCACTTTCCTCTCTTTCTCTACATGGCATGCAGGATCTCTGGGATTCTGCCTCAACATCAGAGCCTTTTGCTGAGGGATACCAGTATTATAAATCTCTCTGCAGCTGGGAGGAGCATCCCAGTTGAGAGTCAGCCCTGTGGTTTTCAAATGCCCCCTTTCAGTTCTGCCAATAAATTATTGGGTCTCTTTGTTTCTTTCAGTCTCTCTTATTTTTGTCTGTCTGAAATTTGGTGGGATGRTGTTTCTCTAGGCTGCTTGCTTTGTCTTTGCCTCTTCACACTCCCAGGTTAGCCGTGCCTTGCACCCACCCCTGTTCGTTGGGGAGAAGGATGTGAGCTTCGCTTAAGCCAGGACAAAGAGATGTTTGGTGTCAGTTAACCTCACTCTGTCTGTGGAGAGCCAGCAGCACTGGCTGAATGCAGGGCCAAGCCTGCTTCTGGTGTGCCCTGGGGTTTGCAAGTCTCTGGCCACCTGGGGAACTGGGCCCCCAGTGGGTGTAGCAGAAGAGACTGATGGCCCAGCCTGCTACTCATGGCTGCGTGACAGCTGTGACCAGAAGAGGGGCTGGGAGTGACCCCCATCCTCAGGGGTGAGCCTGGAATGATGGGTTGTTGCCTGGAAAGCCAGCATGGCTGCAATTTGGATGCCACGGAAACAATAGGAGCTAATTATTTCCTCTGATTCTGCTTGACTACAACACTAATTGTACTCATTAACAGCTCCAGCCTTTTCTCCTTTTCCTTGGGGAATCACACAATTGCCTTTCGTTTTTAATAGAGCCTTTGCCTCAGGCCCAGGAGGGGAGGCTGTGGCCAGCATGGGGCACATCTCCTGCCCCACGTGGTCTATGCAGTCCCCCAGGAGAAGGGGCTGTTTGGGCCAATTTGCTCGTGACCACAGAACCAGCAGCCCATGTCCAGAACAATTACCAGCCTTGGGGAMTGGGAGACCTTCAGCCTTCCAGACYTTCAGACTCCAATTGCAAATTCCTTGTCATACTATTCAAGTGTAGATTCTCTGGCAGCCAGGACTGCCAGAGAAAATAGTTTAAAATAYTCAKTCTGAAGGGTTTGTTTTCTGTGTTGAARGTGTCAGTCCTAAGTTGTCTCTAGAGACATTTGGTGCACTGACAGCAATGACTGAGTGCTCCCCATGGTCAGGCAGTTAGACCTGGCTGGGCAGGAAGCAGAGCTGTTCCCCAAGCTGTAGTGGCATTCCTCTCTGTGTTTCTTGRGACCCGTGGTCCTGTTCCTGCTTTTGTCACTTGTCTGTCACCAGCTCTCAACCAAATGCACTTTTCCAGGCACGGTTTGTTTTCCCTGCTGCGAGCAGGTACTACTACAGCTGCTACTTAAGATTCATTTTAAATACAACTCTCCCCTGCTGCTCTCCAGTATTTGTTAGGGGGGATTTAGTTGTAATTACATTCTGGCAATCTAAGCAAAAATAGCCTTGCAAGGCAGGGCTGAAATATTAGCTGCAGGCTCCTTTTATTCACAGCGTATTTAGCTTTTTGCAGATGACATCACTTRGAGCTTTAGTCCTGTTGTTGTGTCCAGCTGCGCGTCATGTCCACCTCTGTTATTTCGTGTACTCGCCCACTTCTCRCTTCTGATGCCCCTTGTCTAAGCTGATGCTGATGAGTGGAGGCTTGCTATTAAATCTGAAAATGCTGCGGTCCTGCTGTGCTCCCCCTCACTTTGCAAGYGAGCTGTGGAAGAGCCCTTCCCGGGGAGGCTGTTCCTCTCCTCCCACGGCCACYGTGGTTGAGATTCAGAGGAACTCAGCAGTGGTTCCTCTTGCTCAGTCTTTAAGTGAGCAAGCTGCCTGGGTGTGGAGTTTGTCCTCTTTAAGGCTGTTTTTCCTGAGGCCAGGAGAAAAGCAGTGTTTGATCAGTGCCAAGMATCAGGTGTGCCTTCTACGGCCTGGAGAGGGATGGAGCCAGACTGGTTTTTGAGCTGGACTTTTGGTTTGTGGTCTGCTGTGTCCTGCTAATGAGAATGGTGAAATACAGGCATGAGGTTGTTTGGGAAAGGAAGGAGCTTCTGTCATGCTCTAGACAAAGGTTTCAGATCCTCTTCATTCGGGAAGGAAGCCTCTAGCCATAGGAGCTCCAAATCTGTGGTGAGTCAATCCCTTCCCTGCTTTCCTTATCCTGAAGGCTTTGCACACTCTTCTTTAAATCCCTGCAAAGTGGCCTTTGGGGAAACTGGAAGAGCTTTGAGCCCTGGAGCCCAAAATGAGCATTCCCTTGGGCTATTCTTTCCCAAGAATGCTGCACTGTGTTGGGCTCATGGGCCCTGGGTGTCTCTGGCTACAGCTGGTCAAGTAGAGGCTCATGGCTCACAGAGAAAACTGAGTCCCCAGTTTTGGAGGAGAGCAGTTGGAGGATAATGTTGCCTTGCCTTAGTGCATCTTGATGGAGTGTAATGGAGTATCACAAGGCTTATACTGGGCTGGGGAGGCTTTTCCTCTCTCACTGCACTCCCCCAGCCCTGCAAGGTCTTCCCCCACCAGATCCTGCAAGGCACAACTGCTGCCCAAGACCTGTGACATCCCAGCTAGTGCTTTTGGTTTTGTTCTTGTCTCTGGAATGATAAACCACAGAAATCTCCTGAGGGCTGGTAAAACCACTGCTTGGAGATAGTGGATAATGTGGTCTAGGTCATGTGCTCCTGGCATGCTGGAAGAGCTCATCCCTTTCCACTTGTTCTGCATGGTCGTGCTGGAGCCTGAGCTCCCTGGAAGAAACAGCATCCTTGGAGTGGTAAGATGAAGGTGACAGTGCCAGGCTCTCTAGACTGGCAGCAGTGCAATAAGGAGCCAGTAATCAATGGGAAATGGCCAGGCAAAGACAGACTAGAGCTCATTAATTATGCATCTTCTTGGGGACAGAGATCCTGTGTGCTCTGGTTTGGGCCGCTTGTGTCAGCTTCTGCCTCTCACAGGGCTGGGGACATTGGGCCAGGAGGGTCTGTCCCTTCAGCCACTGAGAGGACATTGCTGTGGCAGGAYAGGAGTCCTGTGCAGTGCCATGACGTACCAGCAAGACTGTCCAGGAGTACAGTGCCCCAGAACCTGGTCACCTCACCTGGGTCMTGGCCATGGGAGGTGACCCATGCAGGGGGCAGGACCCAGCCAAGGTCCTCTAAGCACCCCTGCCTGCACTGGTGAGCACCATCCCCACCTCTTTCAAGGAGCTCCGGATTCACCCAGTGTTGGTGCTGTAGGCACTGTGTAGCTCACAGGGACAGGGCAGGAAAAGCCACCTTGCAGAGAGCAAGGGCCGGCTGGCACAGCCCTGGGTGGTTCTGGGCCGTGACCAGGCTGCAGACATCCAGGAAGCAATGTCTCAGCTGCTGTGTGTTTTCCTCCATGCCCACAGTGCCCTCACCTCTTGCAGGCGRTGCTGGGGGCAGTTGTGGGCAGTGATCAACTGGTTTTGTCCCAGCAGCAGCAGAGGCCGCCGGTGCTGGGGCTGCGAGGCTGATCCCTGTCCTGGAGCCAGGCGCAGGTGGCACGAGCTGGATCTCAGAGGAGCAGATGCTGCTTGCCACCGCTCCAGGCTGACTCCTCTCATCTCCCCTGCCAGCAGGGACAAAGCCAGGRGGCCCCAGAGGTCACTGAGGGGCACAGGGGGATGCAGCGTTGCTGGGATGGGGGGAAGGGGCTGTGCTTGAYAGAGATGATCCCACAGGGCAAGGAAGGCTGGTGGGGGAGGGAGTTGTGCTGATGCTCCCAGCAGGATGGATGCCACAGGGCACACATCCTTGAGGGGTTTGGGTGCCTGGTGGCCCAGAGTCCTTCCACCTCAAGCTGCTTGCTGGGGATCAAGGACAGCAATTTAGCTGTCCCCAAGAGCCACAGKCAAGGCATAAATGAAGGGAGGAATTCACTGCCACTAATCTCATCCATGGCTTCATTGTTGCCCCAGAATGGGCGACTGTAGCTGTGATTCCTACCCCATTRCCACAACAAGGAATGCCAGTGTACCCATTTGTCCTGGACTTGCATTTGTAAATTTGCAGAGGGGTAATGTGACTCTTGCTGTCAGCATGGCCCATTAGATGTCTGACTCTGCTTCATCCCCCCCTGTCTCATCTCACTGGACTCTGCAGCTCAGAGGTGTGTGGCCAGCCTGCACAGGGGGCACATTCAGCCTCTCCGAGGCTGATGGACATTGAGTAGAGATGCCATGCAGGCTTGCAAGACTGTTGCAGGCTTTATTTCCACGTTCAGCACAGTGTGAGCACCCCACGTTCCCTTTTCCCCCATCTCCACCTCTGGGCTGGTGAGCACCTGTGGCATCACTGTGGCAGATACTGCTTGGGRTCCCCGGGGAAGGGCAGGGCAGGTGCCTGGTTGAAGTGAGCCATGAGGAAGATGCCGACGGTGCCRCACACGAAGAGAGAGGCCATGATGAAGAAGCAGACACGGTCGATCACCTGTCCCACCATGATCCATTCTTCGCTCTCCTGCCGGAGGCACAAGAAGGGTGAGGGCTGCCCCCCATGCAGATCCCCCTCCYCCAGCCCCAACTCACGCTGCTGAAGTCGTTCTGCTCCCGTGTGGCGTTGGCGATGTAGTTGCAGGCGTCCACGCAGGCGCGGATCTCAGGACCTGCCTCCTCCAGGCTCTGGCAGAAATCCTGGGCACTGCCACTCTCCAGACCACGTCCTGTGGGCAGCAGAGCTCTCAGCCACCTGCCACAAAGCCCARCTTCACAAGCAGGTGCCAATCCCCCTGGGGGCACTCACCAATCTTCTCCAGCACRGTTTTCATCAGCCCATCCCTTTCCTTCTGCTTCTCAAAGAGCAGCTCTGTCCGGGCTTTCCAGAGCATGTACTCATCGGCTTTCACCATGAGCCCCAGGGAGCTGCGTCTGCGGATGGCTTGTGGTGGCCCTGGCGTCTCCTCTGGCACAGCCATGCCCAGGTAACGGGGCAGGAGGTACAGGAACACCTGGGCACAGTGTCACCTGTGGGGATCTGTCCCCCTCACTCCTCCAAGCGCACCCAATGTGTGTGACCGGTTTCCCTGGCATTGCCTGGAGCACAGTGTGTGGGATGCTGGCACCTGCTGCTCCCCGGTGCTGGGAGCGGCTTGGTGGCACAGTGTGGTCATCGGGGACATCTGAGGACCGTCCATTCATGCCAGATGAAGGCATGCATGCCACCCAGCTCTGCAAGGGACATGGCCTTGATCCCCAAACACCCAACCCATTCCCCYTGTATAAAGGGTAGGGGATGATGGCAGGTACCTGGCGCACTCTCTGGGACATGGAGTGAGTGTTGGGCGTTCTCAGGGAGACGTTGAGGACGATGACAGCATTCACCACGATCACCACTGTCACCACCATGAGGAAGGTCAGGTATCTGGGGAGGGGGCACAGAGCCTCAGTGGGACTGCTGGGTCACAAGCTACAGTCATGCAAGGTCCATCTCAGTGTGCTCCTGGGCTGGAAGCTGATGACTGGCAGTGAAACGTGGGCAAGTGGTAGCCCTGTGTCAGCCCCGCTTCTGTGCCAGTGCCTGTCCCTGGGCTGCAGAGCACCTGGGCACCCTGCTGACACAGTGTGACAACAGGGCTGGCACCCCTGTCCCCAAGTGTCACTTACTTCCCGATCAGAGGCACAGCCTGGGAGGTCTCAGGCACTTTCTGGGCAATCAGAAAGAGGAAGACAGTCTGGGCCAGGAGAACATTGATGGAGACGGTGCATTTCTGCCCACCCGCTGCCAAGGAGGGGGAAAGGCAGAGTTTGGCACTGGCAAAAAACCCCACCTGAAAGCTGAATTAGACAAGTCCTGCTTTGAGGCTTTAACTATGGGATACCTGGAAATTTACACACTCCCCCATCCAACTATCACAGGGGCAGGTGAGAACTGACTCTGATGGTCCTCAGGTACAGAGGGGATGAGGAGCCCTTCCTGGAGTGCTGCTGTCCCCTGGCACGTCCCCATTCACACAGTGGGCACAGCCTCAGCGTACCTTTGGCGGGCAGGAAGTAGACGAGYACGGCCATGGCAGAGATGAGGACACAGGGCACGATGATGTTGATGACGTAGAAGAGCGGCTTGCGCTGGATGATGAGGTAGAAGATGACCTGCTGGTACTGGATGTCATCTGGGGTGAAGCGCTCTGAGTTGATGATCTTGCGGGCGGGGCGGTGCTTGATGGCCCATTCACCATTCTCTGCAATGGTGCCACGTGAGTACCATCCCTCAGTCCAGGGAGGGGGACAAGGGGAGGACTGGTCATTGGCATGGGCCCCACAGGGCACCCAGGCTGCACCCAGTGCTAGAGCCTCTTGTGAGGGAGATGAACACTGTGGAACGTGCCCTGCTACCTGGGCAAAATACCCCAAAAAGCAGTTAGATGGGCCAGCTGGGCACATATGGGGCACCTTGAGCCCCTTGGGGGCTCCCTGGGCTACAGCTGTGGGGCTGGGATCGATCCCCCCATCTCCCCAGTGCCACAGAGGGAAGCCAAGCATGACACCAGGTGACAGCGCACTGCTCTCCCCTGCTCTCCGAGAGAGCGATAGATTTTTTCCCAGTCAAGATCGCAACTCAGGCCGGTAATGAAAAAATAAATCTCGCTGCCCGAAAAGCATTTTGTTCCTTCAATATGCAATTAAAATGTGATGGAAAACGTCATTGTTTGGCCATGACAGCTACGTTCCCAGCATCAATCAAGCTTGCAGGAGCGGTGCTCTCCGAGAGCAGCTGCCAGGCAGCGAGAGCCCCGAGCCGGGGGGGTTAGAAAAACAAATCTCTCCCACACTCCTGCTTGCACTAATAACTTAAGTGCCCATGTAATGGTGGGAGCTGCTAATAGTCCCTGCAGCCCTGCTTTTGGCAGMCACCAGTGTAGCAGCAGGCCTGTTGGATGTCCCCTGCCGTGGGACATTCCTTTGCCATGGGTGTGGCCGCAGTGTTACCTGTGAAAGCCTCGGGATCGATGGAGATCCACTCCACAGTCTGGCCTTCCTCCACGGTCAGCAGCAGGTTGATTTCGTTGGCACTGTACGTCTGGGACCTGGGGAGGGACGAGGTGGTGGCRCAGGCTGGCATGCAGCAGACTGGATGGGCAAAAGGTGCCATTGTGGCCGCAGGTCATGCTGGCCACCTCCAGCTCTGCTTTGGGGGGATTGGCTTGTCCACAGTGCCAAGTGGCCAGGGACAAGTAGGTGGCACTTATCTGCCCAGGGGCAAAACTGGGCATCCCACACTAATCCCCATGTCCCGAGAGGAGCTTCCATGGTGCCCATGCTCACTGAAAGACCATGGTGCAGTTCTGCCAGTCGAAGGGGAAGTAGGTGACGTGGATGACGCAGACGCTGCGGTAGATGGCGGGGGGCAGCCAGTAGATGCTGCCGTCAGGGGACACCAGCACATTGGTGTAGAGGGTGATTTCGAATGTCCCGTCGATGCTGGGGGGGAAAGAGTGGGCTCAGCCCCAAACTGCGCCTGGGGGGAAGCTGCCAGCCCTATGTGGGGACATGTCCTCATTGCCGTGTCACCTACTTGTTCTCCAGGACGACGTCGGGCAGCCAAACCATGGTGGAGGGCACCCGCAGCAGCTGGATGTTGTCATATTGCTCGGGGTCCCAGCTCAGGCGATAATCCACCCATTGCTGGGAGGAGAGAAAAGGAAGAGGGGTCATGGAGCTCCCCAAGATGAAGGAGARTGTGAGCTGCCTGTGCCATCCTGCCCACAAAATGGGCTCAGTTGGGGGTGCCCACAAAAGAGGGTGCAGGTTACAGTGCCAGCCCCAAGGGTGCCACCCTGATGGGCAAACACAGCTGGGTGTGATCCTGCCTGGAGGGGAGGRGTCTCACCATCTCGATCCAGACATTGGTGGTGAGGGTCTCCTCCCGTTCATTCTGGCAGGGAAGGAAGGAGGGAGATGTTTTTAGTGCCCTGCCTGCTGCCCCGCACGAATTATGGGAGTAGCTGGGAGGGTCTCTCACCAGGGAGATGAGGTTGGTGAGGGTGAGCTTGAGGGACACATCGATGATCTCATCCCCCCGGGCCGGACGCAGCTGCTGGTTGTAGTTGGACATGAGGTCCTGGAGCAGCTTCTCCTCCTGGTTCCTGCAGCTCACACCTGCGGAGGGCACATGCCATAGGGACAGCCCGGGGTGGGGACAGTGGGGTCACTGATTTCCTCAGGACCTCATACATTGAGAGGGGAGGCGCAGGCGTGTGTTCCTGAGGGTGTGTGCCCTCTTCTCCATGATCCTGGCAGTCCCATCAGAGCCCCGCACGCAGCAGAGGGAGGGTCCCCCCCATGCCCTCACCCTGCCCACCCGGGTGGACACGGGGACAGTGGCTGCCAGCACAGGGACAGCCCGGTGGGGCAGTGCCTGGTGCTGCACTCCCAGGGGTCACAAACCCCCAGTGCCAAGGTGGGGGTGCAGATCTTACCTGTGAGGGCGCAGAGGATGAGGAGGAGGCCGTGGCCACGCATGGCGGTGCTGCAGGGGCTGGAGCTGGGGCTCCGCTCCCCCGTCCGTGCTGACTGCTCTGGGCCTGGCGCCCGCTGGGACAGGACAGCTGTCCCTGCCAGTGTCAGCTGTTCCCAATAGCCATGGGGGCCGGGAGGGACCGGTGACCACCCACTGCCCCTGCCGGTGGGTTGATGCCCGTTTGCTGGGAAGCTCCTCTGGCATTTTGTGCTGGAGGGGCTGGAACTGGGGCAAGGGGCAGAATGAGCCCCGTGCCCTGGGTTCCCTGTGTGTCCCACAACGGATGCAGCACCATGCAGGTGCCCATAGTTCATGGAAATGGGGTGCCCCTGTGACAGCACATCCTGTCCCTGCCATGGCAGTGGCTGTCCCCAGAATACAGGGTGGGAAGGGACAGGCAAATCCCACCACAACAGCCTGGGGAGTGATCCCCCCACCCTGGGGTTCAAATCCTTCCAGCCCCTATGTAGGGGGATCACAGGGAGGGGGGGATAGCGGTGTGGGGGTGTGGTGAAATTCCTGGCTCAGTGAGGAGGATGTGACAGCTGTCCTGGGCCACTGCCGGTGGGGAGWCGTCAGCTGTGTCCCCTGAAACCAGAGCCCTGGCATCCCACTGCCRAGCCAGGGAAGGAAACGCCTCTGTGGGCCCCCAGCCCTGCCCTGGGGGATGGGGTGTGCTGGGGGGACACCGTGGGTCTGGCTGGGGGATCATGGGGGCAGGGGGGAAATGTGGGCACTGATGGCATCCCTGCCCACTGCGGTGGCTCTGTGGGGATGGTGYCATGCTGGGGGGCCATCTCCTTTCCCAGCCCACTGGGGTAGCAGGGCTGCTACCACATCCCCTCTGAGAATCACTCCTTCCAGACACAGCTGAGGTCCACCCTGCTCAGGACACCCAACAACACCCATTCCCTGGGTGGGCATCACCCTCCCAGCACACACAGTGCTCAGGCTGGGCACTGTGCCCGGTGGGGGACATCAAGAGCAGCCACCAGGTCAGTGCCCCATGGCAAGAAGCACCCAGCTTTATTTTCCCAAACCAAGACAGGTGGGGGAGAGGCTGGCACAGGGGGCCCCCTTTCCCCCCCTAGATGAAGCGTTTGTTCTCCTCCCGGTAGTCGTAGGGGTCTCCAGCAAAGGGCAGTGGGGGTGGGTGGTTGTAGATGCCCATGAGGAAGATCCAGAGGGTGCCCAACACCAGCGTGGGGGTGATGACGAAGAGGCACAGGCGGTCCAGGGTCCGGGCCACGCGGTTCCAGTTGTCGATCTCCTGGGGAGAGAGCCGGGAGCCCGGCAGTGTGGGGGCACAGCAGGCCCAGAGAGCCCCCTGTGCCCTTCCCGTGCCCATGGCCCCACCTCATTGTAGTTGTTTTCATCCCTCATGTGCTTGACAATGTAGTTGGCATCGTCAATGACGGGTTTGATGTGCTCGTAGGGCTGCTCCTCACCTGAGTCCATGCCCAGCGGCGCTAACCCTGGGGATGAGGGGGACAGTGAGATGGGCTCCAAAGAGAGATCCCATCCCTGCCACCCTCCCCCATGATCCCATGGAGGGGCTGTGGCTCACGGGCRGGGGTGACACGGCTGGTCAGCCCGTGCCGCTCCGACTGCTTCTCGAACATGAGCTCGCTGCGGGACTTGACGCTGAAATATTCCTCWGCCTTGGCGATGTATCCGGCAGAGCTGCAGCGCCGGATGCACGGGGCGCTCGGAGGGCTCTCGGACGGCTGTGTCATGCCCAGCAGCCGGGGCAGGCTCTCCAGGAACACCTGGGACACAAGAGCGGCTGTGATGGCCCTTAGTGTGTTGCCACCTTGTCCCCACTTTCTGCCATGTGGCACAGATGCAATGCCAGGCTGTGCTGTCCCAAGCCCTCCAAGGGGCACAGAGTGACCAGGTACCCACCAGCCCACACCCCACGCACCTCTTTGACCCAGTCAGACATGACGTGGGTGCTGGGCGTGCGGAAGTGGAAGTTGAGGACCACGACAGAGATGATCACCACGGCCGTCACCAGAAGCATGATGAAAAGCAGATACCTGGTAGGGAGTGTGGTCTTGGAGCCAGCATTGCCACGGGGGCTGGGCACAGGCAGAGCTGCCCTCTGGCATTACAGGGACTCCACAATGTCCCCACTGCACTCACTTGCCAATGAGGGGGATGGCGTGGGAAGTGGCAGGCAGGCGCTGGGAGATCAGCAGGAGGAACACAGACTGGGCCAGGAGCACTGAGATTACCAGGGTCATCTTCTCACCACCTGGAGAACAGATGAGCTCAGAGCAAACCCTGCCCCAGCAGCTTTGCCAGTATTCCTAGTGCTGGGGTTGCCCTTCCAGTGTCACCAGGGTGCCCCACACAGGGCTTTTCTGTTACAGGAGTACCCTGRGGTCCCACATGGGACATCCTGTGCCCAAGTGCACCTCTGCCAGGATGCCTGGCTGGGGTCACGGTGTCCCACATGAGGATATTCCAGTTCCAGGATGTCCTCAGGCTGGGCTTTGGGGTGTTGCCATGTCCCAGGACCTGGTGCAGGTGTGGGGTGTCCCATGGATGTGACTCCCATTCCTGGCACAGGGCTCACTCACTGTCAGCAGGCAGGTAGAACACGAGGATGACCATGAAGGCGATGAGGATGCAGGGTATGACGATGTTGATGACATAGAAGAGCGGCTTGCGCTTGATGATGAGGTAGAAGGTGATGTCCTGGTGCTCGCTGGTGTCCAGGGGAATGTCAGGGTGGATGTTCTTGCGTGCTGGGCGGTGGATGATTTCCCACTCCCCATTCTCTGCCAGGGCACAGGGGACAGCACATGGCATGGGGGACACCTGCCATGAGCATCCTCACCAGCCCCACTAGCGCCAGTCTCCCCTCCCAGGGTGTGGGTACCATTCCAAGGTGGGATGGGTGCCAGGGTGACAAAGTCCCAGGTACTGGTGTTTCTCCATGGTGGGTAGCCCCATCTCCAGAGTGCCCCCCTGCCCTTTATAGGGTGTTCCACTGCCACAGGGTGTGGTGGAAAGCACCAGTGTTACCTGTGAAGCCTTCGGGGTCGATGATGATCCACTCCACCGGGTAAGACCTCTCCGTTTCTGGGTCAGTGTCTGTCTTCAAATGCATCTTGATCTCCAGGGCACTGTATGCCAGCGACCTGGACCACAGTTGGGGGGACAGGCAGTGAGGGGCTGTGGGCACCCACCAACCAACCCACCCTGACYTCCAGCAGGATGGACTTAGGCCACCAGGTCGCCTGCAGACCCCCATCTTGCTGCGTGCCAACAGCAAGGAGAGGAGCTGRCAACAGCAGGCACCATGGTGGGGATGGGATGCCCGCCCTGCTGCCCTGACCCCGCCAGCTGGCACCTGAATCTGAGGGAGCAGTTCTGCCAGTCGAAGGGGAAATAGTCAACGTTGATGAGGCAGGTGCTGCGGAAGATGGCRGGGGGCAGCCAGTAGACGTAGCCTGAGTCGTAGATGAGAACGTTGCAGTAGTAGGCGACCTCGAAGAGCCCRTCATTGCTGTGCCAGGAGGGAGAGGGTGATGGCAGGGCTGGGAAGGGGCTAGGGGAGCCCTGGGCATGCTCTGGGAACAATTCAAAAGTTTGTGAGTGGAAACAGAGGCACAGCTCACTTGTTCTCCAGGACTATCTCAGGCAGCCACAGCATGTCTGGCGGCAGGCGGAGCACCTCGATGTCCCCAAACTCAGACTTGTTCCACTGCAGGCGGTAATCGGTCCAGCCCTGGAGGGGAGGATCCCCAGGTCACCCCCTCAGTGCACTGGGCCACCCCATGGTGGCACAACTGATACTGTGACAGCCGCCCCTACTCACGTGCTCGAGCCATACGTTGGTGGTGAGTGTCTCGTCCACCTCTTTCTGCAACAGCAACATGGGGCAGTGAGATGTCAGGGTGTCCCCCAAATGTGAGGCAGTGAGATGTCAGGGTGTCCCCCAAATGTGGGGCAGTGAGATGTCAGGGTGTCCCCCATCCCAGGACCCCCAACCTTCACCAGCCAGGGTTGGGACAGCAGCCTCAGGGCTCCCCCCATCTAGCCAGCCCTGGGGGTGAGGCATGGCTGGGGGAGCACCCCAGAATGTGGCTCACCAGTGAGATGAGGTTGGAGAGGGTGAGGGCCAGGTAGACGTCCACAACCTCATCGCTGGAGACCACAGGGCGCAGCTCTTTGTCGTAGCCCTTCTCCTCGAACAGGTAATGGATGAGCCGCTCCTCGTGGTTCACGCAGAGCCCGCCTGGGGCTGTAGGGTCAGGAAAACCAGGGGGCTCAGCATTACTGGGCCCAGTGCCACCCCTTTGGGATGCTCAGCAAGAGCAGGGTGGTGTAAGAACAGAGGGGAGAGGAACAGGCCAGCACACCGCATGTCTGTGCTGCACAGGAGAACAGACATGGACACAGGAATGACAGACATGCAGGAGCACATGGTCACACACGGTCACGGGACAAGGACGTGGGTACAGACACACAGATACACACCCAGCACAGACAGGGACACAGACATGAGTCACTTTGGTACAGACATGGTGGAACTGTGCACACAGGTGGCTGCACACACAGAACACACATGGACTCATGGATGTGGACTCGTGTGCAGGGACACATGGTCATAGATTCAGCACAGACAGGCACTTAGAGGGACACACGGATGCAATGACACCGCACTGACAGCACACAGCCCGGGCAGGGACACGGCTCTGGGTGGCACAGTCAGGAAAGAAGCACGAGGGACATGCAGTGAAAGGACTCTGCCAGGTAATACCCAAAATGCAGCCCTGGGGACCCTGGTGCCCAGTCTGGACCCTGCCATAGTCATCCCCCACCAACCCCATCGAGGGGGCCCCTAACCCCACGAGCACCCCATGCAGCAGAGCAACAGGGCACCCACGCCCCAGACCCCGCTCACCCGACAGCATCAGTGCCCCGAGCAGGGCCAGCTGCTGCAGCAGGTTCCCCATGCGCTGCCCGTGGTGCCCTCACGCCGTGCCAGGCCCTGGCTGCCTCCTCCTGGCCTGGCCGAGCGGATGTCCGGCTGCCGGACGCAGTGGGAGATGGACGGTGCCAGGTGCCGAGGGGGAAGGTGCCGCTCCCACCCCGTTCTTCCGGCAGYCCCATGCAGGGAAGGCAGACGGGCAGGCACAGCTGGCCCTGCCGGCCCCACGGATGTCAGCCCATCACCCTGAGCCTGGGCA